CCAACACCTCTCTCAGGGTCTCTGCCCCCGTCTGTGGCTCCCTGTCCTCCGTCTCACTGGGTCTCTGCCCGCCCCCTAGCTGGATCTGTCTCCTGCCCGCCATCCCCTCCCTGCCCTGCCCCGACACCTGACAGTCCCGTCCTCATCCTCCTCCACAGCAGAGCTCCTCCCGTGGCAGCTACCAAGAGCAACAGGAGGCCGATGATGAGCCCGACCACGGGCACCGCAGACCTGGCTGTCGACTCTGAAGGCAGGAGATGGTGAATGGACCCTCCACCCCGAGTCAGACAGGGGGGCTCGGATTCCTGAGACCACCCCCACCTGCACTGAGAGTCTGGGGATGAGAGCCAGCAGACCGGCGTCGTGGCTGTCCGGGGGCTGGGCAACACGTTTGCAGGTTAGATGGGAGAACCAGCCAGAGCAAGGAGTGGTGGCCAGACTGGCCAGAGGACCAGTGGCCTCCAGCCTCGGAGTCCAGTAGAGAGCAGGGGAGACTCGGTGGAGGGAGGGCTGGCAGTGGTAGCAAAGCAGGCTTGACAAGGATTGGCTGAAGCAGACAAGATTGGCCAGGCTCCGTGAAAACCAGCAGCAGCAGGTTGGAAGACAGTCAGACTCAGGGAGGACCGGAGACCCGGAGGCTGAACGTGTGTGGCGCCACCACTCAGGCTCAGTAGGCGGTCGGACTCAATGGGGCCTCGTAGCAGCAGGATGGAAGGCAGTTAGACTCAAGGACAAGCAACGCAGGATAGAAGGCTGTCGGCCTGTGAGAGAGTGGGCGGCAGCTGGGCACAAGACAGGGAGCCCTGTGGCATAGCAGTAAAGAGCTGCGCTGCTAAAGAAAAGGGCCTGTCTGGTTCGAACCCACCGGCCGCTCCGCAGGAGAAAGATGAGGCTGTCTGCTTCCGTTAAGAGCTACAGCAGCGCAGTTGGAAGCTGCCCCCCCAGGGTTCCAGGGAGTCAGAATGGACTCCATGTCAGTGGGTGGGGGCAGCCAGCGGGTAGACCCCGTAGGACCCGACACCGCTGGGGCTCAGGGAGAATCTGGAGGCAGCCCTCACCCAGTTCCACCTTGAGGGGCTGCGCGAACCCTGCGTGCTGCACCATGCAGCTGTAGTGATGCTCCTCGCCACTGGGGACTTGCAGCGACGACCAGGCGTGGAAGGAGCCGTCCCCGTTGGGGCCCTGGTCGCCCTCCCCGGAGCCGGCTGCCAGCCCGTCGTGGAGGAAACGCAGCTGCAGCTCGGGCGGGTAGAAGGAGAAGGCGCTGCAGGTCAGGAGTGAGAACCCGGGACTGCTCGGCCGGGCCTTCAGGCGCATGGAGGGGGGTTCTGCAGACAGAGGGGCAGCCAATGGACTCGCAGGGCCGGGCTCAGGGTGGGCGAAAAATAAGGGAAGGGACAGGGGCAGGCACAGGACGGGACATGGGCAGGGCTGAGAGCAGGGAGGACCCCTTTTCTTCCACTGCACTGAGTGGGGGCCTATCATGTATCCTCAGCAGAGCCTGGAGAACACTGTGGGGGAAGCAGGGGGCTGCC